CATCACATAAAATACGTGCCAAGTATGGTATCATAGAATTTTTATACTTAGACGCGCGGGCATACAGTTTTCTGAAGTTACTTCTTGTTCTACCTGAGGAGATGCTCGGTGAAAGCTGAGGGTGACGTGGATGCTCCAAGTCAGACAAAATCCCTTTAGCAAATTTACTGCACGAAGTCAAATGCCTATCGACAACGACGTTAACTATGTAATCCACTGGGACACCACTCATCCTACTGACAGTCTTCAGCATTCTACGAATTGTGACAAAGTCCTTTTTAAGCAAACCAGGAAAGAATAAGGGTAAACAATAAAGAAGAATAGGTAGGATGCAAGAGTTTATGAACTGTAAGAGGAGGGGTTGAGTTATACCCGAGTGCCTTAACTTCTTAATGTAAAATGTCAGGCGGAATATTTTACTGGAGATCGCTGAGACATGGGAAGACCAGGAGAGATCAGAAGAGAGAATAAGTCCAAGATACTTAATTTCTGATTTAATTCCTATATCATTGTCATCAATCTTACAACTGTCATGAGAATCGACGGCTTCTTTTAACTGTCGTTTACATCTTAAGCTGAAATTAACAGTTTGACATTTAGAAGGATTCAGTTTAAGACCGTTTGACTCAGACCATTTACTGACTCCCGACAGAAAGCTATTTATTTTGGTACAATCTAGCTGGGAGTTAACAGCCATTGAAACAGTTAGATCATCAGCGTACTTCACAAAATTTATTTCATCAGACTGAGGCAAGTCATGTAAGAAGAAAGAAAAAAGAAAAGGAGAGAGGACAGTGCCTTGAGGGACACCAGCTTCAGTAGGCAATGAAGTGGAAGACTTCCCTTTATACACGGTGTACTGCTTTCTTTCTGAGAAATAAGAGTGTAACCAGTTAACAGCCCAACATTCTGTTTGACATAGTATTCTTTTGTTAATGCAGTATATAACCGTGGGAAATGTATTCTGTCTCTAACATCAAATAGAATCTTCAAATAGATATATTGTATTCTGTTGCTAATGCCTAATTGTACTGTGGTAATTTGTGAGAATAATATTCCATTGGCACACATTGTCTGTATCACACCAACACAATTTGTGCTCGAAACATCATCAGCAAATATTACTGTATAACACTGTGTAATTTTATCAAAATAAATCTTTACGCATAATGGAGTTATAGTCTACCACAGTGCCCAAGTTTTATACTTATCTCAATAGAGTACACACGTATTGTGTTTCTTTTACTTCTCCCATGTTTCTCTGCAACGCAGAATCATCTGCTTTCTCTGACGTCAAATCCGTCTCCTTGCTGTTTGATGTCTTTTATGCCGACGAATGCCTCTTAATATACTACTGATCAACCTTATCAGTAGCACACGCCTCACTGGGACGTATTTTCTGTAAACACAACTGTTACCACACAAATACACATACTAAGTCGCTAAGCCTTCATTCAGTACATACAAGGCTATTCATTTTACTTGTCAACTAACAAACTAACACCATTCTATTTAATATTCTAAACTATTAAAATGTCAGGTAACTGCTACTACTATATTATTTCTTCGTTTTACATTTTAAAAAGTTTGGCATAATTTCATACTTAGCACTTTTTTTCACCTTCTCTATCGATTTCTAAAACACAATCACAAGTAAGAAAAGTGCATCCAAATAATGTGTCAGTACAGCAGAGATCTTAACTTTATCTGATTTTTTCTTAACAATTACTATGAGTTATTTTCTTATTATATGCAACTGCCGTCTAACTCAGTAATTAGTCAATCAGGATTCAAATACTACAAATATTGATCATCTGTGCTAGTCAGACAAACGACCAATCAGATCACATCACGTTGATAAACGCCTACGACTAGGCCCATGTCGCTAAACTATTATTAGTACACATGATACTGCTATAAATTATTATTACATATTTTTCTCCCACTCACTCTTTTGCAATACATACTAATATTACTGTGCGAATCTTCTGACTGATTACTTTCGTCCTAGTAAGTCTACTGTAAAATTCTCAGTTGTCCACTGCTGCTAAATGGTATCGTGTAAATATTTAGAGACGATAATAGTTTGCCGTTAGGACGAACCTGTCGTATCTATGCAACGGCGTCATAACCTGGCTGGGTAGTTTATTGGGCCAAGATTGTATGGCCTACCTAAAGTGCATAAACCACGGGTACCATCAAGACCAATACTTGATATGCAAAATTCGCCTCACCATGATCTACCTAGATGGTCAGTAAATATTCTCAAACCTTTGCATGAGAAGATGGTGAAATACAGCGTCAAAGAGATATTTGAATTCGTAAACAAAATCAAAGATATTAATATCAAGGACAAAACCATGATATCTCTGAACATAGCATCTTTATTCACAAATGTACCTCTAGTAGAAACAGTTAACTATATATGTGAACAAGTGGATAACCAGTTGATAAACATAGGCATCCGTACTGAAATCCTAAAAGAAGTGTTATTAAGATGTACCATGAATGTAAATTTCAAATTTGACGGCACGCTTTACAGGCAAGTGGACGGGGTGGCGATGGGCTCCTCGTCGGATCTCATTTTGGCTGATTTCTTTCTAAGTAAACTAGAAAATAGACCTTCAGATATAATAGAGAAGATTTGTAGCTCAGGTGGATGATTTTGGTGTGGTTGTGTTCTCTGAGCTGGATGGTTTGGTTGCGAAGCTTTCATTGCTCTACTGAGCAACATCTTCAGCGCATACTTCGATGTGACTTCACAGCTTCGTTCCTATCAATTACAAAAGAAATTTAGTAAAGACCCTCAGCCACAGAGTTAGAGCTATCTGCTCAGAAGAAGTAATTGAAGATGAATTCAGCATTGTATATGACACTTTGATCGAAAATGGCTATCCTAACAAATTTATCAAGAAACACATAAGAAAGAAAGCGTAAAAGGATTACTCCCTATCGGTAAACAAGAAGCCTCTTCACATACGACTACAATTCAAGTGCGATATACCATGTGAGATAATTACGAAGAAATTAAGGAAATCAGTTCAAAGGACTTTTAATGCTGGCAAACTACACGTCTTATTCTCTACACTACCGATGGTGATTCCCCGACTGAAAGATGAAGTACCTAGACTAGCCACTTCAAATTGTATCTACCAATTCAACTGCGATTGTGGTGGAGTGAGTTACATTGAGTGTAGCTCTAGGAACTTGATTTTTGTGCTCGAGAACATATCCCGCTATAGCTGATTAAAGCTGTAGTAAAAACCATCAGGTCCCAACCGGCCACAAAGCCAGCATTGAAGAATCCTTCTCTGTCATCTAATGGGTGCCTAATAAATTGCCAAAAACATCGAGGTACCGTATGCTCTAAACAGCAGAGGCTATCACAAATCGCCTCAAACAACCAGTGCTTTGTGTGCAAAAGAAGCAAGTTCGGCCACTACTACTGCTCTGGCCTTCAGTAGAGACTATAAATTCATGAATTTGTTATATTATCTTTCCTAAATATTTCTGAAATTCAGCTCATTTTATGTTGATACTATTCAGCTGTAATCTATCAATATTATCGATTCGATGTTATTTAAACAGCATTAATGTCGTTGATAACACTAATTCATTCATTCACTATAATGTGTATATATAACTGTAGAGCCTTATGATGAAGTTATCGAAAAGAGTATTCTTTGTTCAGTATCCATTCTTTTGTAAGTTTTTGATCTGTTTATTGTTGGGATCTTCAAGGTTATGCAATCAGTCAGATATTGACTACCCATTTATAGTTTAAGTGACCATGGATGTGTTAACGATAAATATAAATATACTCTGTATCTTCGATGATAAAGTTGTTGTCACCGTTAAATCTGACTTCTGTATCTACCTCGGTGTCGTGTCAAGGAGGCGTAGTGGTGCAAAAAACCTTAACCCTAAACTGTAAACATCAAATAATTGAGATAGTCAAATACTGAAATGAGAAATCGGTCATCGAAAGGTTAAATTTTATCTAAGTGACACGAGAAAACTCAGAAAAGCCTCTGAAGTGAATACAGGAGTAAGACAAGGCTGCCTACTATTTCGAATCATATTCCTAGTTGTGGTGGACTGAATTATGCGGCACACCACAGGCTGGGAGTGAAAAAACAGGAATACGCTGGATTAATAGAAAAACCCTAAAAGATCTGGATTTCACGGCGGATGATTTATGTCTAACGTCACTCACACAAACTCGAAGACTTACTGGTGAAAACCAACAAGTTGACAGAAGAGGCAAGCATAGAAGACGGAAGTGATGGAGATACCCAAACAACCACCACCGTCAACAACAACAACCAGCACGAATCACTGTCAACGGGAGAAATTTGAAGAAGATTACTTCCTTGACTTATCTGGCCAAGCAGCATCGTTTCAACTACAGGCAACAGCGCGGATGAGGATGTCGAAATCAGCCAGGATTGGTAGGGCAAAGCAGATCTTCGTCACACTGGGATCACTGTGGAAATCTTCTGCAATCGGCATAAACTACAAAATTTGGATTTCCAACACAAATATAGAGTTAGTCGGTTCTTTCATGAGTCAGAAACTTGGCCAGGGGGTCACAACAGCAGACTTTTACCAACAGTGACCTTCGATGGCTCCATACTGAAGATCAGGTGGCTGGTCGACTGACAAGAAAGAATTATCAACAAGAAGCTATGGAAACAAACGAACCAAGAACCTTTTACTCAAAAATATGACGAATGAAATGGAGATTGAATTTACACATACTCTGAGGAGACTGTTAAGGGACACAGCTCAAGGGGAACTCGAACAAGAAACGACAAGTTGGGTATGGAGGATATCATGAGATGGGGGAGATGAGAGACTATAGGCGATCGTAAGGCCAACTACGCAGGATCGCAGAGAGTAGGACAAAGTGGAGAAATGCTTTTGTAGCCCTATGTTCAACTAGGGAATAATAATACAGAAATCCTCTGGTTGCTGATTATATCGATCACTTTGACGAGGCTTCATCAGGACGTGAGTGTTGCCATCAATCGCAACTCTCAAATAAAGACTTCCCGTCCTCACCAAAAAGTTGAACTGAACGCCTATCTAGTATACATATATACGTGTTCAATTAGTTATGAGGAAGGGGGCGATAACAAAAGTGACAAGCAACACAAAACAAAAACACCATTTTCCACACGAGACAACTTTTATTTTTTCTGAGATAATGAGAACATAAGTAAGTCAACTAAAACAAAATAGAAAGGATTGTTGAATCATGAACAGGATGTGACTAATTATCTTGTAAAATACTCTCAGTACATAAATAAACTTGCAGAAAATACAATAAGGCAATTGAAAAACAAAGTAAAAAGGATCATAGGTTGTTGTCAATATTAGGCTTAATCGATTATTGTTACTATGCGCATAAGCTAAAAAAAGACATATGCATTACCCACTTTATTGTTTATCTTGTTCTCTCTAAATACACATGGACCTGAGGTAAGCGAGTGTTTAATAAAAGAAAAACGTCAAGAAGAGTTGAAAACGAGGCATAAAGTTGTTTTGCCTTCATCACTGTTAAAATTATATTCTATACATTTGAGGAATGAATACATATACATATACATAAATATACATACATTCCTTTCTTCCTTCAAGATAATGAGCTGAAATATGACAATGATGAAAATGAAATTGAGCAGAATTTTTTTTTTAAAGAAAACCGATAGATAGATAATCTTTGTGTAGTGTCATGTCATCACAGTGCCAACAGACGAGTTACTTACTTACTTACTTATCGTCTGTAGACTTTCATACTTCATGATGAGGTGTAGAAAAAAATGAACTTAATGGATTGCTCACTTCATGACCAGAATTAGTGCGTTGTATTAAGCTGTTAAGCAGTTTAGCCAATGCTGCATTTTCAATAGAATGCGGATTTTGGATATAATATAAAATAATGTCTTGTGAAAAGCCATTCTCTTCTAAATAGATTACAAGTCGGGCTAATTGTTGTGCCTAAATACACATATAGGGAAAATGAAACAATAAAACATTATTATTATTATTAGACATTAACTAGTGAATATCAGTTTAAATTTGTGAAGCTCAGATAAAAAAAACGAATGTATTCAAAAGACTGAAATATCACTTACAGACACGTTTAAAGGTATTTACAATCGTTGATAATATAAAATAAATAGTTGTGTCACCCAGACAGATTATGAGTTTAAACACTGAGAGGAAATAGAGAGAAGCTCAGCAAACAGATATCTTTTCAGCGACTTCATCTTCAAAAGCAGCTGTACAATCGTACTTATTGTTATTATTATTATTGTTCCCTTCGATTTGCGATGGAACATACGGCTTCACACAGCACATCTCCCCTTTGTCCTATTATCTACGGTCCTCTTCAGTTGGCCAACAGATTTCCCGTAAGCGCTCATCTCCTCTCCACACGATCCTCCGACCAACGGCCAACTACTCGTCACTTCTCATTCTGGTTCCATTCGACAGACGGCCTGCCGTGCGATGTCACCGAACGGTCTCCTCAGTGTGTGTCCAATCCATCACCATTCCCTTAAACATATTTGTTGAACAATAGGTTTTTGATTGATTAGTTCCCAGAGTTCCTCGTTGCTAATTCTTTCTGACCGACTGGCTGGCCATCTGATCTTCCCTATGGAGTCATCGAAGGTAGCTGTTGATAAAAGTTTGCCGTAGTCTGTTATAAATGCTTTCCGTGACGTATGCACCAAGTCTCTGAACAATATAGAAGAACTCACTGACATTGGTGCTGAGAACCTAAATTTTGTTGTTCCTACTGAGTACAGCAGATATCCAAACTGATATCAGAGTGATGGATGTCTGCCATACCTTTCCGATTCCGGCTGATTTTGATATTCTCGTCCGTCCCACTGCCTGCAGTTGGAACAATGATGTCTAGATAAGTAAAGGAAGTGACTTTTATCAAATTACTTCCGTTGACAGTGATCGGGTCTTGTTGTTGGTTGACTATCCATTTAATCTTAGAATCTGTGAAATAGTCCCCACCTTAGATAATGTGTCATTTACACAGACTAGCACGTTGCCCTATATGTTATTTCTAAATAGCGCTTGAAATCATGGAGAATGTTTGCAGCTCAGCTCTCTAAGCTGAGTCCCTTAATTGGGAAGCCTTCATCATCCATCTAGACAAAAACGTTACCATCTCTTAATTCAGTGTGAAGCAAATATTTCGCAATTCTTCACGAATGATGTAACTGACTCTCCTAGTGGCTGCAGATGCGATCAGTTGTCTTCAGACGTTTTATTAAATTGTATTGATGTATTGATCGTTTCATTGACCTGGAATTCCATCTTTTAGTCATTTTCGCAATGGTATCTAATTCTTTATCGCTTGATATATTTGATTTGTGTCAGTACATCTGCTGAATGGAAAGCTTCTTCCCGAGAATTCTCTGGTATTTTTTTGTGTCCCCACCTTAGCAGTAGAATCACTATCAAATACAGTTAACAAAAATGATATCAAAACCATAGACTCTACTGGCTTGGGCCGACTTAGACATGTAAATCCAACAATATATACAATTATAGGTATTAGTTAGTGTTAAACAGTCACAAGATGTCAAACAGATAGTTATAGGTATTATCAGTCAACAAGATTATATCACAGATTTAGTGTTCGAAAGTCAAATAATTACAATAAGTTCCACAACTTCCTGGCAAGAAACGCCAGAGAAATAAGAGTTTTATGTTACTGAGCAAATGTAGCGTAGTAATCGAAAAGCACGTCAAGGTTTTTTTAAAATAATTTGATAGTAGTGTTGAAAAATCTGAATCTTGTTGTTCTTTATGCTGAATTCAGTAGACCTTTAGAATGATTTCAGAGTGATTCAGTACGAAAGCAAATACTTTATTTGAATCTGAAATTCAGTGGAGACTTAGCTGCAGTTACCCTTCAGAGGAGAATCTCCAACTCCCTAAAGAAGACCTTTCCCGCAGTAACTCTAAGAGTGATATTCACTAGTCGCCCACTGCTTCTAAGTGATGTGAAGAACAAACCTCCGCATATGATCACTTCAGTGTGCATATATCAGTTGACGTGCTCGTGTGGAGCTAGGTACATAGTTCGTTCTATGCGCGTTCCATCAAAACGTTTTAGAGAGCGCTACGCAAAATGGCTGCAAAGAGGAGGAACTGGTTCAATCAGAAGCGCCATAACTGAACATCTGATCAACACCTGTCACAGTATCTCAACTGACTCACCATTCAGAATCATTTACAAAGTAAATAAAAATCTACCAAAGGCAATGTGCACTGGGCAGAAAACCTCGCCACACGCATCGAAAAGCCAGAGAGCTATGTTCAAAAGAAACCAGTTCAACCTCTACATTTACCATGGATCTAGTTTGGTTTGACTCCTCTTCGTTTTTCATCTTCAGTTATAAAAAGAACTATTGTTTCAAATTGTCTCCATCCTCATCCCATGAATACACCTGCATTCGTTAAAAAAAAAACAATTTTTCCCTTGTAATTTACATTCACACACACCCTCCAACTTTCATATCAAGTTAACAACTAATATTTCAGCTATAAGCTGTAATCCCTCAACAAACGGTACAAAAATTATAATAACATTTTTAATTATATCTTTATATATAAACTGCACAGTAATTGAAAATTGGTAAACAAAACAGCTGGAATCAGATAACTCTTACCTTGGATAAATCATTTGGGAAAGTCAAAGTGATTACAAGAGCTGATTCTTCAGAAAGTCGATGAGAACTTTGACCACTACTAGAGAAATTAGTCAACAGCGAATTGAATGTATGCAAGAGATTTAATAAAATCAGTTTATTCTGTTCAAGATTTTTATATGTAAATACTAAAAAGAACAGATAAAAAAATATACGATATAAGAAATGATATAAAGATTAAGGAATCTACTCATTATATTGAATTCACTTTAAAATTTCCCGTTGATTATTGATTGAACCGAAGTGCTCGACCTCAGGTTGACAGGTCGACTTCCTGTGCAGACGCTTCCACGGTGTCTGATTATTTAACTTGAAGTAAATTGGTGGTGTTCCCACTCACTCACTGGGAAATGCAGGTAAATCCACTAGCTGACGAGTGCCAAATAGGACAAAATATGCATTATAGTGGATTCCATTGTTAGTCACTATCCATCAATTTACTTCAAATCTATTCATCCTTAAAAGCATAGCAACTCAACAATCACATATATGTTCACGTAACAAACTAGGAATAAGAACTTAACTCTCTTGGAACTTGTTAGCTCACAATGAGTGCTACTGTGCCTATAGAGAATTGAGCTCAGTAATTATCATTTCATATCCCAAAAATATTATCCACTAAGTCGATAAGTGACAAGAGTATCTGAATTCGAATTCTGGTGGAGACACGATGAATTCTAGACGGAATAAAACGCTTTGAGTTCAACTGCAACTGCTAACAGTTAAATGTCTAACAAACCGAGCAATAACTCCAAGTGGAGTACATTAGAAAACGTAAATGATGAAATGAAACAGATGGAAGAATAGCTGGTTGATGTTAAATAACCATCCTATAAAATTCATTAGGAAGACCAGAAAAGGTCAAAAGCAAAATAAAAATAATGGTGAAACTAATAATGATAACACGAATAAGAAAGAATATAAGGCATCTGCAGTTTTACCATATTAGGAGACGACAGCTGAGATCCTACGAAGAATTTTTATTAAAGAAGGAATTAGGATGACATCTGAACCTATCACTGATGATATTCCTAATTGTAATACACTGGAATATGAAGGAGACTGTGTGGGAGCGAGCAGACAGGAATATATTGAACCCATAAGAATACTCTAGGAAATCCGGAATTCTCGGATGATTTATGTCTGATGTCACACAAACTAGAAGACCTACAGGAGAAAACCAACAAACTAACAGAAAAGGCTGGCAGCGAAGACATGATTTCAACAAGCATAAAGAAGATGGGGGTAGTGAAACTAATCAGCCATCAACAACAACAACAACAAGCACCAATAACTATCAGTGAAAGAAATTTGAAAGGCGCCACCACTTTCACTTACCTAGGAGGCATCGTTCCAACTACAGGCGGCACGGATGACGATGCAAACGCCAGCATGGATTGAAAAACCGGGTAGAACTTTATCACTCTGAAATCAGTTTGGAAATCTGCTTTACTTAACATAAAGAACGCAATTCGTATTTTCAACACCAGTGTTGTCATTCAGTTCTTCTACATGGGTCAGAAACTTGGCCAGCGTGTCACCAAAAGCATATCCAACCGAAAGCAGCAGACTTTTATTAACAGCTGACTTCGGTGGTCCCATACTGGTGACCAGATGGCAGGCCAGAAAGAATTGGCGACAAGAAACTCTGGGAACTAACCAATCAAAAACTTATTGCTCAACAAATATGTTAAAGGAAGTGGTGACGGATCGGACACACACTGAGGAGACCACTTGATGACATAGCACGGCAGACCGTCTCTTCAGTGGAAATGGGATAGTAAACGGCAAGTTGGATGTGTGTCCAAGGGTGACATGGAGATTGGGTGAGGAGATGAGAACCTATATGCAATTGTCGTGTCAGATGAAGAGGACTATAGGGAACCCAAGAGAATAATAGTAATATACTTTGCACTCTCAGTCAATTTAAACACGACAATTAAGAACAGCTTTAGCACAAAAGCTTCCATGATAAAAGAATTCATATGAGCTAATTTATTTTTGCACACTAGTCTAATTAATGCAACATGAAAACTCGATAAACGTCTACGTACTAAGCTAACTGTAAGAACTCACAGTACTATCCTACTACCAAGGTAGAATTAAATAAACCAGAATTTGAACTGAAGGCCAATTACTTGAGAGTTAAGTACCTACGCGCTTATCAATCACACAATCTATTCAGCCTAAATATGTAGGTTATCACTCTTAGTGAAAAAAGAGAACCAACTTCAACTGAGTAAATAGACACACTTCACAAACATGCACACTCCTATACATACCGATAACTTAACTATCATTTGTTCTGTGAACAGTCGATAAGAAAAACCAGTTGAGTAATGCTGTTTATTCACTAGCCAATCAATACTCAGCTCAAAAGAGAAAGACAAACTGCCCCGTTTCGCCTCTTCCATGTGTATTTACCGATTTAACTGCTCGTGAGGAGCTCCAACTACATTGGGAGTACGATCAGGCAAGTTCATCGTTGATTTTCTTTCTGAACACCTCCATCTTAGTTTGGCAAGAGTCCAACTAAAACTATACTATGCTCAATACTAGCTCATCTAGTCGATACTATCTGGACGTCAAGATGACCTTTCGCAAGCTTTACGAGTACAACTTCTACATACAGCAGAGGCAATCGAAATACATCTTTCTTTGTCATGACCAACGACAAAATATGTATTAAGTCTTACAGACAATTTTCCCCTCCCCTTATAACTATCTTTTGACTTTGTTATTTTATTATGATTTTAATTCTAGTTAATTCAAATAAATTGTTTGTATCGTACGTGATTCTACTTAGTCATCCTATTCTTCTTAGTCATCAGTGCCTCACAAATTTCTTGATTGTGTCATAATTAACTGATCTTCAATTCTGCAATGATTTTTATGCCCCCCCCCATCCATCCAAATTCAGATACCCTGTTCTGATGACTTTTAATCTCTTACTTTCATTCACACCCCCATACCTAAAACTGATAATTCTTATTAACTCAAATAACCACAGGACTGGTACAATTTCGATGTAAAAAGGCAAATATGTTAGTGTACAGCCAACCGATGATGAAGAACTAATTGAAAAGGAATACACGTATTTCTTCGCTCAATTTGGTGCTTTTCTAAATGTGTAAATGGGACTATCCAGCTCAGAGAACACAACTACATCAAAATGGGACTTTACAAACTACTATAAGCCAGAGTATTTAAAACAAACGACACACTGATATAACGGAGACCTGCTTAAAACACTAGCCTACCGGAATTTCCACCCATCAAAATGTTGCTTAAACTCTTCTGCATTTCTTATTGTTTTAATGATGCAATTACATATCAAATGGTCATTACATGACCTCACGCACATATTCAGTTAGTTGTCAGCGAAACGCCGCTTAATTCTTGAAGAAAATGGAGAAAAAATCTACCAATTTGATTCTTCATCTGCATATGCAACTACACTCTACATCGTAATGATATACTTCAGATTATTACTTTACATGTAAATCCTGTATGAAGAGGAAATATTTTGGAACTTAAAATATGCTGAGACTTCCTTGTACAGTGTGTTCACATAATGTCCCAAATAAAGCCTCATTATTATTGATTAGAAAAGTATATGTACACAAAAAAATAAAAATTTACCTCGTTTTTTCATACCCAACTCTAAAAGACGCCGGGCATGAGAATGCGAAAAACCAGAGCTTGTTGCCCATGACAGCAGATTCTCTTCAAGTTTCACATTGTGAGAACTTATGTCAGTACTTCCACCAAAAGAGATTGTATTTTGATGTTTTGTTGTATTGAAAAGACTTCTCTGTCCTGAAATTCTTCCTCCACCACTGCATGATTGCGGCCGTTGAGGTAATGAGTTTAGCTATAACAAACGATTATGTAACATATATATGTGAAAAAGACGTAAACAACAAAGAGAATTTTCCTTTCAATGATTCATTTTCATAAGCTGTACAAAATATGAAGGAAAGGCCTCCATCGCCAAAAGTCGTAAGTGTTCCTAAGATAACTCCCTTCATGAACCTGAAATTCAAAGGTGACACTGAAGGCGGAAATCTTCGACACCACCTTTCTAAATGTCTCAAGTAGATATTTCAAGCAGCCGCCTTACGCATCACATTCTTCAGAAGACAGTTAACCCAGTCTAACGTTAGGGATAAGATACCGCTTTTGGCCACCTCAATGGTGTATATTAGTCAGTTCACTTGCTTGTGTAAAGCAAAGTGTGTCGGCCGTACGCAACAGCAAGTCCGCAAACGTATTCTGTAACACTGTCCAGCTTGGCTAGCCAGAGGAGGAAAGAGGAATACTAGCAGCTCAATACTCGAATATCTTGTCAACTCTGAACATCGAACAAGCCCACTTGCACAAGCGAGATAGCAGGAGTTCAGGCGTCGAAAGCACAGAATATGACTGTGTTATTTAAACAATACGATCACCTGTTCACTGGAAATGGGGAAACCAACGGTCATTGTGATAAGGTGAGACATGAAATCCCAATGAGCAATCGCAAAATGGCACCATTCACAACGGGGAGAGTCCCATGTCATTCAGAACGGGAAGGTGAGAGACAAGTGAAGGAGATGTCACAGGAGGATACTATTGAAGAACCTGACAGTCGTCATAACTCTCCAGTTCTTATATTGCTGGAAAGAACACTATGAGGAGCAGTTTAATTGGCCTACAGCCACACTTGACCTGCCGAACATCCAACACCTCCCTGAATGGGATATAGACACAGATCCTCCGTCCTTAACTGAGGTTACTAAAGCTGTCACTAATCTGAAACAAGGCAAAGCAGCGGGACCTGATTTATTGACTCCAGAGGTACTTAAGTACGGAGGCGACAGTTTACTGTCTGCATTAACTGATGTTCTAGGCAGCTTCTGGCAATCAGCGAAACTCCCATTGGGTTGGTGTAAGTCACTGATCATCCCGATATACAAGAAGGGAGACAAGTCTTCAGGTGATAATCACAGAGGGATTAGTTTGACTAATATAGTACCTAAAATCCTAGGCTCAATAATACTGCATAGACTAAGTGGTGCTTGGGAGACACAAACACGAGAAAACCAGGCAGGTTTTAGGCCAGGAAGAGGGTGTATTGATCATATATTCACCCTTCGATAGATTCTAGAAAATAGGCATTCCTACCTGCGTCCAACAATCATTATATTTCTTGACCAAAAGGCGTCATTCGATTCTGTCGACCGAGAGGTTCTCTGGCGATGCTTGGCTGTAAGGGGAATGCCGAGAAAATACATTGCACTGATCAAGGCACTCTACTCGTACTCATGCAGCCAGATGACGGCTTATGGCGAGTTGTCATCTGAAGTGGTGACGGCTAGTGGCGTCCGTCAAGGATGCCCATTATCCCCATTTCTATTCAATTTCATCATAGATGTACTAATGAACTTAACCCTAACTCAATTCAGCGACTCAGGGATTGACTTGCTACCAGGGAATAATCTCGTTGACTTAGAATATGCATGCGGATGGCATAGTCTCTCTAGGCGAGGACGCTGACTAAATGCAGAGTCTTCTGAACACACTGAGCTGCAATCTACGAATGTTTAGCATGCGATTCGCCCCTGTAAAATATAAGATGATGCTGCAGGATTGGACTACACCGACCCCTAGATTAGAAATAGGAAATGAAGTGGTAGAGCACGTTGACCGCTTCACTTACTTGGGAAGTACCATCAGCCCCAACGGGTTGATCTCCGACGAAATCTCAGCATGAATACAGAGGGCTAGTTTCGCATATGCCAGTTTACGCCGTCTCTGGCGTAGACGCGATATCCGAATATCGACAAAAGGGCGTGTGTATTGCTCAACAGTCCGCTCCGTCCTCCTTTATGACTGTGAGACCTGGCCATTGAGAGCAGAAGACATGAAAGGATTAGCTGTCTTCGATCATAGGTGTCTGCGTTCTATCTCCCGTGTGAACTGGTATAATAAGGTGAGCAATATTGAGGTTAGGCGTCGAGGGTAATCAATAGACGAGGCTGTGAAATTACATCAACTGGGATGGTTAGGACATGTGTTACGTATGCCTAGTCATCGCCTTCCTCGACCGATTGGCAATGTTAGCTGACATAGGGCCAGGCTGGAAAAGCGCTAGCGGCGGTCAAACGAAAACATGGTACCAGTCAATGAAATCTACAACAGTTAGTTTAAGCCACGTAGTTAGGTGTAGACTTCCTGGTTGGGGTCTTCGGGACGGCAAAAACCAATGAAGCCTGGAGACGATTGGTGATATGGCTCAAAATCGTTCTCAATGGCTGGCGCAGATGCATCCACTCCTTGTGACTTATGATTTCCAATTAAACTGTTTTGTTCTTCGTTATTACTATTTCTTTGTCTCACACCTGTGTTTACTGTCTATATTATGCATTTCTTCTACTTTCTTCTCTTGCTTTGTGTGCTACATGGAGTGTGGCGACTTGAACTGCCGCACATCGGTGCAAAGTCAAAAACAGACAGACAGCCACCACACCTCCACCAGCAATCACACAACTACCCAGATACACGAACGCATCGACGACTTCAAGTGGTTCACCTGCAAGAGTGAGTGCAGGTGAGTACATGCTCCTGCCAATCTTGTGACAGTACTTTGCACTTAATCAGTTGGAGATCAGCATGTGCAAATATGGCATGTGATTTGCGCCGTCTAAGTGCGATTTGGGTAGTCTGCATGCTATCGCACAGTAAGACGTTATCGTCTGCATACTCGAGGCCGAAGAGTCTTTCTTCAGGAAGCAGATCTACACCACCACTAGGCACATCCTTTAGAGCTGACTCCAGAATTTCATCGATGGCAAAGTTAAAGAGAAGTAGAGAGATCGGGCAACCCTATCTAACAGCTGATGAGAATAGTATATTTCCTCCATGCTCTCTTTGGATATAAACGTTACTACAAGATTCATCAATCGACAGGATTGAATTATGCCCCTCAGATCAATTAAATGTCAGACGCCAATAACTATGTCTGTATCCCAAACCCTATCGAAAACTAATTGACTGATTGACGACATAACGTAGAACTTGGCAGCAGTACACAGTAGTTCAAGCTACCATACTTCAAATAAATGCACAAAACAAAGAAAGAGGAACAAAATGATCGTCACGGAGAAAGTAACTGAAGATTTTCAAGAGTTATTATACAACAGAGACTGGACTCATTGGTACCACCACTGCAAACAGTTTACAGTCATGCGACAAGATCTCCAAACTTCTCGTACCTCCATCATGCGATCTACAATACCTAACATCAATGAATAACTTTACTGATTAATGCTGTGTTTGTGCTCGACTACTCCCCAATAGTTTTCAGAGCTAATCCCACCTCAAATCATTTTTCTCAGCACAATTCTCATATGCTTTAAACACCAACCGATGAAGCTCTACAACCTCGCCATCTGAGTTTCCTTCCTTACCTTAAGGTGAGACACCGAAGGGACACATCTGTGATAACCAACCAAGGGATTAAGATTTCATTAATATAACCCTGTCCTAGCTTGGTTGCTTCGAGTTCCTTTCTCTGAATATTTCTGCAACCCTCGTTTAGATATGAACGTAGGATTTTAGGCACCATAATAGTCAGTCACACTGATTCTCCTTTTCCATTTATTATACACTACGATGATTAATAACCTTTACCATTTTGATAGAATTGTCTCGCTTTTGAATAATTCATCATCTATTTCCGATAATGAAAAGTACAATGAATTTTTTACAGCGTTGCATATATTAATTAATGCAAAAACACTAAATATTTTTATACTGTTCAATAGGGAAACAATGTGTAGACTACGTAAAACACCCACCTTTACATTTTGTGAGAAACTTGAATTTAAGCCTGCTGTAGATATTTCCGTTTTCTTATGACTCAACTTTGTAGACTCTAATAAAAGATTATTGGGTGTAACATTTAAAATAGCTTCATCGTGTAGATATTTTCCAGAATTAAGCTCAGTATTTGAGTGAATACTTCTGAGATGAGATTGAGAGTAACTCTTAGGTTGCACAAAGATTGTTTCAGGAGATTTATCAATTGTTAACGTTTTATCAGAACTGAAAAAAGAGGAATAACTCAAATTGTCTGAATTTACGGAAGACTGTGCGTCTAAATCATTCGTCGGATGAGGTTTCTCATTGCAGGCAGACGCAGTAGCTTTAGTTGCTAGCATATCTGCTACTGATGATGATGATGATGGCACACCAGAACCAGTAAATGAATCACACAGAATTTTCTTCAACTCCTCCAGCTCATTGATTGTTTTCAGCTCAGTCATTGCAAATGGATCATCAGCTCCATTATCAAAATCTTTCAGATATGTACAGGCTGAAGGACTGGCGGAAGCACGAGGGGCACAGTTAAATTCTGAACTAGGACCAGTGTGCTGACTGTCTTGGGGTTCCACTTGTTCTGATATACGAGGGGGAGGAGGTTGGCTAGGGTTTCCATCCAGTATGCTGGGAAGCAATATTTGCCCAGATACAAGATGGCTTGCAGCAGCAGGTGGTGGAGGTGCCGAAGAAAGTGATAATGGGCGCAAATCACACGAAGAAAATGACTGCGAGTCGGAGACATGAGGACGAGACGATAACTCCACTACTTTCTGGATGTTGTCTTCTGGTGGCACATTTAGTTGGACTGATGGAACCTCACCAATTGATGTTGGTATTGCCTGATCTAAATGCTTTTTTGATTTCAAAAACTCCTCATGATCAGCGACCACCTGCCTTTCATAAAGAAAGTCATACTAAAAATAAAAATACAAAAATACCATAAATTAACTGTAAATAAAAAAACACGAGCCAGAAAATATTAATGAGTTTTTTATAAGTTGACGGGGCCTGTCTACTAATATTTTAGCAAAGTCACGGAGTAGAATCTGCTGCTCAGAAATAATGATTTGGACGGATGAATTTCCATTTCACCGTGTGAGAATAACTCCATTGTAACTTGCACATATATTTAGATGCAATAATTTCTAGGAATAAATATTAGTTGTTTCTAGGGTTATGGAGTGAAATTGTTGAATGCAGTGAACACTTCGCTTATTTGGAAAATTACATCAAAACCAAACGAACTGCCTGTTGACGAAAAGTTCATTTGGTACTCGCCAAATTGCGTCATCTTTGGCATCGGTATGATATTCAGATATCCGTCTGAAGAAGTGAGTAATGTGAGGTAATTAATTCATTGAAGACTGTCGGCAACGTCTCAAAATCATTCCCAGTAATCCATATTCTGACAGGATCGATCGGGTTGGAAAAGAGCCAACTAGTGGTGGTCGGTGGCACAGTGGTTAGGACTCTCGCCGACCATGCACATGGTCCGGGGTTCGATCCCCTGCCGGCGCACACCCGATATCTATGGTATGCCTGAATTTGGGCAACCGATATCCAAGCTGAAAATTCCACACTTGTACTGAAAATACGGTGTGGAATCAAGCTGTAAATCAAAATAAAAATAAATAAAAAAATAAAATAAACGAAAACATGGCTTCATCAGTCCATAAAATCTATAACAGATAGTTTGAGCTGGGCAACCACGTAGGGATGTGTAGACTGGTTTCCTGGTTAATGTCGTCGGAATGGTAAGAACCAATGAAGGCTGGAGACAATTGGCGATATGGCTCAAAATCGTTCTCAATGGATGGTGCAAATGCACTCTTTGATTTGTCATATCCAATAAAACTCTCTTGTTCTTCTATATTACTATTCTTTTTCCCCCACTCACAAATCTGTTCATTATAACTCACTCCTTTGAATCTTTCTTTACTCTCTTCTCTTGCTTTTTATGACACAAGGGGGGAGTGATAAATATATGTGCAAAGTTGGATGTTGAAACCAGCCAGCCAAAAGTAAATAGCAAGTTTGAAAACAACAACTTAGGCGTCTATCCTGAGATTAACTATAGTGTGCAGAGCGCCCAAAAATGTCTTCACGTCTTCAAGATGTGAATTGAATCCATCAAAAATGTCAACCAGCTAAATTTCATACGACCCAAATAAGGTTATTCTTAGATATAAGCGTTTACCTTTCAAACACAGGTCCAGAACCAGCTTGCCTAACCAGCGCACAAAATAGTGCATAGTCTAATGCACTCGATCCGAAACATGTCACCAGGTCACTATGGTATCCCTCGGTGCAATCTTGACATGATTTTTTTCACTTACGGTATTCCACCTACGGAATTTACTACCCACAGATTTAGCAACCGCTGCATCAGTTGGTAGCTTCAAGAGAAGACTACAACATTACAAAAACCGATAGGTTTATGTGGATCAGTACTACAAATGTCCTGCTTATTACAACATACTTCATTATCTTATTCAGATATTTTTAATATTTCCTATATCCCCACAAGTCTTGCCCTGTTCTTTTCTTTTATTTCTATTGCATATGGTCTCCCTATTTTATCTGTCTTACACTGAATCCCCTCATCCCACCTTCCACTTGTTTAGTCAACCCATTCTCTAAATTCCCTTGCAACTCGCTTAGTATAGCTTATTCTAGCGTTTGCTGAGCGAACCGGAGTGCCTGGCGGGACGGAATTTGCAAGCCTCAGCAGTCAAGCCAGAATACACCAGAACACAGGAACTAGTCCTAAATAGCAAGAACCAAGCTCCAAGTCTCACACATGCTCGTCAAAAACACAGTTATCTGCATCTTTGTGCAGTTAGGTGGAACCTCTGTTATAGGTGTACTTCACCTCAGTTCGTCAACCACCCTTTTGTTTACTGTTGGAAGTTCAGCAAACTTTAACAAACTATGCATCAAGACTTATAACACTTTACGCATTACGCAGAAATACAGCTGTATGTATAGCATTCTAAATGTAGGTTTCTAGTCGACCCCCACGTTTCATTACAAACCTACTGGAATTGCTGCGAATTTTTGCATAGAACATCCCATGGTAGAAATGACTAATACGGTTGGATCGTTTCAATCCCTAGTCTGCAATTTCTTTTATTATTAGGATGCAATAACATGACAAACCAAGGACATACTTTATCACTGTGGGATATTGGGACAACAGTAGAGAATTTATACCACAGTCAAGTGATGTTGAAAAATAAGTGGCATTTGTAGTATAAAAAAGTATGTTTACCATAAACATATATAAGTGATAGAAATGAATTATGTAGGTTATAAGTATCCAATATGCCGCAAGAGGAAGTCACAGCTTCTCATACGAGAGGCTAGAGACATACACCATTCCGTTTTTTAGATATGCCCAAAATCCTTCAACAGAATCTGTATCCAGTAGTTTTGATGAATGAACGAATTTATGATGAATATAACTTAATGATGATAGTCACAATGCTCGGCACTTCAAACGAATATTGCCCATAATCTTCGTTGAAAGTTTCACCGTAACCTTAACCTTACCATAATCCTAACGCTGAATCAGGATGAAACGCGACGAAGATCATGAAAAGCGTTAATCTGTAACGTCGGGCGGTCCGCTAGGTTTCTTTTAGGTCATTTGGCTGTGGAATCTATTCAGTACTCTTCCCAATATAGGTTACTCAGTCGAGACAGACTTTTGAAGTACTTATGGAGTCAGTATAGATACATCCAACTAATACATTTGGAACACAACTATAAAAATACTCAACAAAGAAAAATCACATAATAAAGTAGCCTACACAAAATTAACCAAACCACAATCTGCACCCAAATCATTCACACAATCAGCACAACTAATTGTTAGTAGCAAACGTGTAGACAGGTCCTGACCTCAGAACTTCATTTCTGGAGGCAAATGGGTTCTAATATACAGCAAGCATTTAAAATAAATTAATTTACAACCACTAATCAACTCGAATTTAATGAATATTCATAAGATGTGCAGTCTACACGTAGTATTATGATTTGTGGAAGCAATAAAAACCAAAGTACAAAAACATACAAATAACCGTATAATGCATTATCTAAATACCGAGAGTCAATTATTACTGCAGTAATATATTCTACAACAGCATGTATGCAAGCGGTTGTGGAATACGTACCTCGTAATCAGACGAGTTCGACGTCTCCAGAGCTGGCAGATCAGGAGCAACGAATACTCTGACCTTACAAAAGCACTCTACTCCAGAAACCATTCTAACGCCCCATGCTTCATAATCCTTCCTACCTTTTCTTTCCATCAAAACATTATTTTACCGCCAAAGACATCCGGACCGTTCCATTCGAATGTAGCGCCTCCCAAAAGGTAATATCCAACGTCTCTTGAAAGAGCTAATATAAGTGTTTCGACTCTTTGGAATTAACTCACTTTTATTTTGGAGCGTTTCTAAACTTCAGTGTAGATAATATACTTCATTAGATGTTATATCTCCACTAAATGTAGTAAAAGAAGGGACGTTCATTTATTTCGAAGAAAATGTCTGGTTTGTACCAAGAACTTTCATTCGGCCAAACTGTTCTTCAGAAAGGTTTTAAATACTCCTTAAAATGTGGTGCCAGGGAATTAGATGGGAATCCAGAAAGATGACGTGTAAAACGAGAGGACTGAAAATGAAACAGACAGCACAAAGATAGAACGTAGAAAAAGGAATGAGAAACTCCCCGGGAGAAAAAAGAATACAAGCAACTTGAAATAAACAATGAAGTAAATGGAAAAAATTCGAGGATTTGTAGAACTCAGAGAGCCGAGAAGCGCTTGTCCTTCATCCCTCAATCACGTATTCGATGTGTACCACAGAACAGTTGGTAAGCGGCACTTAGACTCTTCAGAATATCAAATCTACTTCAAGATCGTTACTGTTGAGCAATGATGCATTCATGGTTCATTAGACATTGTGTTAGGACAAGGAAAGTAAAGGCTTGCCTGTAGTGACCGGAACTTTCAAGAAAGAGATGCCAAGTTTGTGTGGCAAAGCGACTGCACACTGTTAGCTTTTTTAACCATCTAAACTTCATTATTTTTGTGTAGTGATACAGTTATTTCAACCACTATCCGTGTTCTGCTTCTCCAGTGTAGACTGCATCAGACTGCCGGCATTACATGCAGCGCAACATAGTGAGCCACGCACTCTCGAACGAACCATAACAAGATTTCTAGAGATTAGACTCCACTGGTGGAAAATGTACCTCCGACAAAATATCACAATCAAGACTGTAATCATGAAGCTCGCTCGTTCTGCAGAGAAGTAAACCCCTGACAGGAGTAGTGAAAGCCATAACAGAAACGATTAAGATGGTTTAGCAACATCTGGTAACTAGGCGTATGATGTGAGCCGCGGTGTAAATACTTATAAATTGACACCAACGGGTAAGTTTCCCCGGTCCAGTTATAAATTCCGGGTACCTATCAACAATCGTTGGAAACTTGGATCAAAGACTGCCTTCTTCCTAACGTACTAGATACCTTTAATAGACAGTTTAGTAGTACCATCTATCAGTCGTTTTCGGCGGACGTCTACGAGTAAATCATGATGATTAAGTAGATCCGTGCCAATGATGGGCATTGTGACGTCAGCGAGAAGGAAAATCCACTGAATTGGTTTGCGTAAACCCACGTTCAGATAGCCGTATTTCCTACCAAAGGTTGCAATTGGTTTTCCATTTGCAGCCTGTAAGTATCGGCTAAGTATCGGGTCTGGCTGACTATATCATGAATGCAAATTAGGCGACTAGTGCCACCGGCGACGGTTGCCGCTAACGCGTGTCAGCGGGATAGTATCCCAGTCTTTGAGACATTGCCAAAATTACAAGGTTTTTGGCAACATTTCGCTTCCTGGCCATAGGTATTGTGATACCAACACCAGTCTGGGTTTGTTAGTGAACATGGCTTGGATTGAGACCGACCATGTGAGTTTCGCCGTTGAAGGGAGTTCGGACGACGATAAGAGGAATTACGGGTATATTTGACCTAAGTAGCTGCTGAATGGAGTTGCATAGCTCTATCACTGCAGTATCCGTACTCGAAGTCTGTTCGGCAACTGAGCACATTTCAGTGACCAGCCATTTTGTCATTTCTAGAATTTTATCTGCAGAAACAGCTAAGTTGTCTAAAATAACACCTTGAATTGTCACCAACACAGCCTGTACTGACTGTGGCAGTTTGTATAAGAAAAGTTCTTTGAAAGTCCTTCATCAAACTGATGTTGGTCAATAACTTCCCTCATTCGTGTAAGCATGCTCATGGCTGGCTGATCACCTAACTCGACGTTGCGAAATAATTCGTCCAGACGCTGTAGATCCATGAAAACGTTTCTCTTTAGGAGGGATGCTTTGAGTAAGCCATACGAGTTACTTACCTCTGGGTTCGACATTTGCACACTTACGCATTTTCTAAATTCCCGCGGTGTTATTATTAAATTATTTCCTTTGATTCCTAGAGGAACACATGGCTTCAGCTGCACGTCTCCACTGCGTTCGGCTCTCTTTTAATGTTTTCACCTGGCTCCAAGTCTGCCCACATGCTTTTCTCTCCTCTTCACATGACCTCCTTCAAGTCACCCTTGGACGACCAACTCGCTGCTTCCCTTTCGGATTCCACTCAAGGGCTTGTCTAGTGATGTGAATTGATCGTTTCCTCAGAGTATGGCCAATCCACCTCCATTTCTTCCTGCTTATTTGTTGCGCAATCAGTTCCTGATTGTTTTGCTCCCAGAATTCCCTGTTGCTAATCTTTTTTGACCAGCAATCTGATCTTGAGTAGTGAGCGAAGACAGCTGTTGATGAACGTCTGAATCTCGAAATGTTTCTAATGTATTGCAGTCGCTTTGAAAGGTCCTTCGTATGGTTGACTGAGAGATGACTGTGTTTTATCACATCTCACCCACACATGTGAGCTCCTAGGTAAATATACCGCTCTTGACTTTTCTCGTGATGAAATTAGTCTCCATTGAACCATTTGTAGTTGGAGTCTATCAACATTTGTAGCCTGGCCAAGTTTGTCCTTTTCAGTACTGGGATTGAAAAACTCTCCAGGAAGTCTCATCGTAGTTCTGAATGACGTTTCTGCTGCTGAGCAGTGAACATCGATTTTAACTGCTGTTCGAATACCAAGCGTTACCACTACGAGAAATTCCGCCCAGTGAGTAGGGTCAGTGGGAGATGTTAACGCGGCCTTCAGTTGTCGATGAAGGCCTTCTCTTACCCCACTGGCCTGAGGATAATATGCTGTGCAGAGGATTCTGCGTGATCCCAGAAACTTTGACAAGTTGTTGAAAAGCTCTGACTCAAATTGAGCTCTTCTATCGGTGGTTATTGCTATAGGCACGCCGAATATGGCTACTCAGTGTTGTAGGAAAGCCTTTGCCACTATTTTGGCTGTGATGTTAGCAAGTGGTGTAGGTACATGGCTCCTGATAAACCTGTTGGTGCTCGTGAACAGGTAAGTAAATCTTTTAGAGTATGATAAGGGACTTGCCAAATCCATGAGAGAAGTGAACATCAGGTTGAGAGAATTTTCCCCGAGGGGACATCGTGTCTGTTAACTTTCGCCCTCTCGTATGACATACACGCCTCGTTGTAGGTTCGGCCAAATATATCTTGCAGAGATTATTTTAACCGAAACATTTGCTCCAGGGTGCAATAAAGAGTGGGAATTGTTGAATATAGATTTCCTCATGACTTTAGTCACGAAGGGTCTGAAAGTTCCCACCTACAAGGGATGGTTATTCCTTTAGTTTGAGGCTAGAGTTGTCGGCATTCAGTAGATGCTTTAATTCTTCTTCATTCCTTTGATGTTCTGACAGTGCTTTGAAGTCTATAGTGGTTTATTGTACTGTATTCACGTGTATCCTGGACAGCCGCGCAGTCCTCTGCCCTTTTCGCGTGGCTATATCACTTGTAAATTGAGATATAAAATCGTGGTTAGTATTTGACAGGTTTCGCGTTGAGTGTGTAACTGAGGTCTTATGATCTGTATAGATCCTGAATGGCCTGCTTTATACCATATGACGAAAGTGCTTAACGGCTAGATGGATTGTTGGAAACCCTCTGCCAAAGGTGGAGTACCTTGTTTCCACGGGGTCAAGATGTTTGGAAGAGAACGCGACTGGTTCCCACCTATTATCAACAAGATAATTTAAGGCTGCTCTTTCAGCCATATCAGATGCATCTGCCATTAGCACAAAATACTCATCTGTATCAGAATACTTTAAAGTTGAAGTCTGCCAGTGCATCTTTCAGCTGTAAACTACATCAGTTGCCTCTTTTGATAAATGAAAGTCTTTTGACTTTCTCCGTAGTGCGTCAGTGACAGGATGCATATATTGTGTACAATTAGTTATAAAAAGTCCGTAAAAGTTGATCAACCATAGTAAACTTTGGAGTTGAGTGGGCGAAGTCAGTTTGTTGTGAAATCTTCGGCTCACCAATTTAGTAACACTCTATAAAATGAAAATGAACGCAGAATCATTGAACGATATAGAGCATAGTGATAGAAGAAAACGGTTGCTTTTGAACGTATATTTTTATTATCGCGCCGATGGTGGGCAAGTGAAGCGGAGAAAATTTACTCAAACACATAGAGGGGCATTCATTATTCAATAGAGAAAAAACCTTTCAAATCATAAAGCAGATATAGTTCCTACTTGGCAGCTTTAATTTAATTTTTTGATTTTGATTATAGCTTGATTCCACACAGTGTTTTAGTACATGTGATATCGGTAGCCCAAATTTAGCAGACATTGACCATTGACATCAGCTGTGCATCGGCCAGGGATCGGATCCCGAACCATATGCATGGTCGGCGGGCGTCCTAACCTCTTTGTCTGACCTTTATGTCTTCCTTAATCGCCGACCGCTCACGAGTGATATTAGTGTCTTACAGGTCCCACACTCATTTGCTTGTACATAATGGAAGCAAGTTTACAGGCATCATCCTGATGATTATTAAAAATATGTACATGGAGTAAATACATTTCCAGTTATTCAAAAACACAAGATGCGCATATATTTATGGAAAGGTTGTTGAATAATACCTAAGAGTTAACTTCATATAAGTAGTAGCAATAAACACAGCATAATAACAAGTATCGTCATTGTTTATAATTAACGAAAGTGCGAGTAATAATTGGTGTTTGCATTACTGGAGGTAGTTATGGTGGGTTATTCATAAAATGATGAAACGTTAGTTAGTTTAGCAATAGCAACGTCTTCAGCAATATTAACTGATAACCGCTCACCACGATAGTCACTGTCCAGGTAAACGTGCAAAGAAGCATTATTACATCAACAGCGAAGA